TAAATACAATCTGCAAACTGACCGCAAAACCGGCATCGCAAAATAAATATTAAAAAGAGAGAGAGAGAGAGAGAGCGATGCGAGAGAGAGAGAGATGAGAGAGGGGAGAGAGAGAGAGAGAAGAGAGAGAGAGAGAGAGGGAGAAGCTCGTGCCTCTCCTCCCGTCCTGGTTCGGGAGTTAAAAAGGAAGAAGAAAATATACGAGAGGGAGAGGAGTAATAATGGCGGAACAGCACAGAGAGAGAGAGAGAGACACAATAATCATCCACTTACAAAAAAACATCTCCAAGTCCTGTTCATGACAACAGCAAAGCATAATTTACAGTGTTGGGAGCTCAGCCACGGACCAGATTTACAGATAAGGGCTCCCACCCACACACCCACCCACACACCCACACACCACACACACACCCACCCACCCACCCCTCCTCTCTCTCCCCCCACACCTCCTCCTCTCCTCTCCCCCGGGGAATGTGGTCACTTGTTGTACAGTATATCTCCCGACCCACCCACCCACCCACCCAGACACTTCCCGAGTGAGGGAAGGGAGGTTCGAACCTTCCAGGACGTGCAAACGCTGCCCCACACCCCTCCCCAACCCTCAAGGTTTAGGGAATCTGGGGAGATTCTCCCACCCCCCCACACCCCCACCCGCTTCGCCCCCTCCGCCCCCCGAGACCTCTGTTTCACGTCTCCATCTCGGAGACTGACTGACACCTCTCAGCCCACGCACAGACACACGCTTACACACACAGGTGCGGGCACGCACGCACGCTTGCCCCCGTTCACACACACACACACACACACACACACACGCGAATACGTAGGCACACACATGTACATGCTTGCACGCGCGCACACACACGCGCGCACGCATACAGACACACGCACACGCGCGCGCGCGCTCAATGTACCCCGTTCCCTCCGAGCAGGATAACGAAACACAGTGCTTCCCCCGACAACGCAGAGGGGACACAGCGACTCTCATCGACCTCGTCTGTATGTCCGTCTCCTCGCAACGATGGTCAGTGACAGCACGGGTCGGGGACACAGTAAAGCTCCCTCTACACTGCGCGTGTTGGGGGGGGTGGTGGGGGTTGCGGAGGGCGGAGAGGGAGGAGGTGGGGAGAGGCAGAGGGGAGCGCGGGAGGAGAAAAGTGCAGAATTCAGACAAGCAACAAACAACGTTCTGCAGGACAAAAAAAACAGAATATTTTACGCCAACGATTCAGTGATTGGCAGAGAGAGAGACTGATAGGAACCGCGTTGATCAGACGGATGGAGTCTGTCGTTAGCCTCAGAGTGAGGGAACTGTGTGTGTTTCACCGTTATTTACAATCGATCGCTGGGACTCCAACACGTGGCAGTGCTCAGGCTCCTGTGTCCCACAGCTAACAGTCAGGGGGTGTCTGTGTCTGTCTGTCCACCCAGCCGTCTGTCTGTCTGTCTGTCTGTCTGCGGTCTTGCTCCCCGGGGGAAGAGACACCAGGGCAGTCAGTGTGTGTGTGTGTGTGGGGTGTGTGCGTGAGGGTGTGTGTGTGCGTGAGGGTGTGTGTGTGGGGTGTGTGAGGGTGTGTGTGTGCGTGAGGGTGTGTGCGTGAGGGTGTGTGCGTGAGGGTGTGCGTGAGGGTGTGCGTGAGGGTGTGCGTGAGGGTGTGTGTGTGGTGTGTGTGTGGGTGCGTGAGGGTGTGTGTGTGGCTTGGCGTCCACTTCAGCCGCTGTGTCAGCTGCCGTCGGACAGGATCAGGGACAGGACAGGCCGGGCGTCTGTTAACAGTCGTGTCAGGTTGTATTGGCTTCTCGTTCCCTCCTACGCAGAGTGAGAGTCGCTCATCACCCTCGACCTTCACCTGGGGAGACAACGGCAACAGTGAGGGGGCGGGGGGGGGAATGGGGGTTGTGGTTGTATGTGTCGGAGAGGTGTTTGTGTGTGTGTGTTGGGGATTATGTACAGGAGGGGTATTTGTGAGGGGGTGTATATAGAGGAGGGGTGTGTGTGTGTGTGGGGGGGTTTGTGTAAAGAGTCTGTACACTCACCTCACGAGGTGTGACTAACAGGAGTAAGTGCGGACGGAGGTTGCCTCTCCTCGTTGGCTCGCGGAGCGAGTTGCCTGTCACAACACAGGGGCACACGTGAGCGGCCGACACACACGCACGCACGCACGCACACGCATGTCCTCGGGGCGGGGAGGGTGGGTAGGGTTAGACTTACTGTCCGGCTGCACCTTGCGGAGCTGCAGGCTCTGGGAGGCGATGATGGCTGGCGTGACCCGGAAGTTCGCCGGCAGTGTCTCTGATGTGTCCGACGTCATGTCCCTCATCTCCTTCGCTCGGAATCGCTTGCGCCACGAGGGGGCGCGGCTGAAGTTCTTGGCGTCGTCCTGTCCCGGGGGTGGGGCGAGGGTGGGGGGGGGGTAGGGGTGGGTGGAGGGCGGGGGTGGGGGTAGGGGGTAGGGTGGGGGAATGAGGGAGGGTGTGGGAGCAATATTGAGAGGCGTTATGTCTCCACAGCATCAACACAGCTCTTTTATACAGCGATGGAATCTTCCCCCGATTCCCACACACACTCCCCAACACCCGCGCACATTCCCCAAAACACACACACACGCTCCCCAACACACACACACGCACTCCCCGACACACACCCACGCTCCCGACACACACACACGTACTCCCCGACACACACACACGTACTCCCGAACACACACACGCACTCCCCGACACGACACAACCCACACTCCCCGACAATGTATTTACATAAAGGTCAGTGTCGGTGCTTGGAGCTCTTCATTCTCTGACGCGTCTCTTTTTTTTGGGGGGGGGGAGAAGGGGGGGGAAGAGTGCCTAACGGTA